ATTTGATATGAACCGTAGTAGAGTATCAGTAGACTTGGCTAAAACCCTAAACAAACATAATGAATATAAAATTCAAGCAATGTGAAAGTTATTAAAAAAAAATATCTATTTATACTGTGATGTAAAGATGAGCGAATCGTAATGGTCAATTCATTATGATAAATTGAATAGTGTGAGTCGATTCACTAAACTAAATAAACGTTATTTATGTAGCAGACAATGATTCAATATTGAAAGGTAGTTATTAAAAAGATTAAATAAAGAATTTTGGACATCCATTGTCTTTATGTATTGTAGTTACACAACCTTTCGGTCAGAAGTTTCAGTGTAGTGCTGAGCTTATATACTAGAGCGGAGCATTTACCCTTGAAAATGTTGGGTGCAGTCAACCATGAGATTGTCCACTGAGAATACCCGCATTGGTTTGCTAAAAAAATTATTATTGTTAGAAATGAATACAGCCTGTTTAAATTTGCGCTTTTTTTCAATGGGGTTTCTTGTAGGCAACCCGGGCTTCCGACCATTTTATGTTCTGGTGCTTAAGCCACACATGATCTGCAATACACGATTTCATTGTTTAACCCCTTTGCGTATGTTTTTCATGTTTGTCAAGTCGTCATTTAGAAGATGTTTTGTCTCTCCAATATACGACTCACCACACTCGTAAGGTACCTGGTAGATACACTCTTTCTCTTGCTTTGATAATTCCGGTTTTGTTTCTGTTAGGATACTTTTTAGAATAGTCCCAGATTTAAAAACAGTTTTAATTTTATTCTGCTTAGCTATTCGTCTGATCTTCTTCGATGATCCTTTCACATATGGAATCGTAAGAGAGAGAGAGCGCATTCTCCTCTGATTGGAGCACCAATTAATCCGACTTGCAATTGGATATTATCTTGTCGAGGGACTTTGCTGAGTAACCATTCTGAAGTAAATCAGTAATTAATTAATATTACTTAGTTCAGATTTCACAGATTCTTGGTCACTACATAATATAGTGATTATTCGATGGCATAATATTTTAACTATACTTCTTTTAGTTGCTTTAGAATGATTCTACTAAGAATTTTAAATACTGTCCCGTATGTGTGGGTTTTCTATTAGACAGGAATTCTATAGACAGGAACACCCAGAAACGGTAGACAGAAAAATTTCCAACTGTCTATGAGTTCCATTTCAGATATATAAAAGTATCGTGAACATATCGAAGCCAGATTTGGGGTTTGACGGGAAACGCATAGGTAAACCATCGTTTTGAGCATAAAACTTATCTTTAACTTGAAAATAAGAAATATGACAGCACCTCAAGAGTTCCATCATTTCCCTAAGAGGCAGCCAAGTCCTTTCGGAAAACGTAACGTCATCCCTCAATCTAGCCTCGATGATGCTTAACAATTTTTTAAAGGGATATGTAAAGTCTTTGATCCGAACCCATTCACAATTGGTTTCAGTGAAACAAAGTTTGAATAAATATTTATAATATCGTAGGGGAAAAAGGCCCACGAATGCCGTTTTCATTTCCCTGGAGCTTTAAAAGATCTATTTAAAACATGTAAGTGAAAATGTCAGGTGCTTGATTTTTTGCTTCTCTGTGCAGAAAACAAAATGGAAATGTATAACCTTCTGTTAGGTTGAAAATTTTATTACATTTTGTCAGTTAGCACGTATTTTCCTGTTTCCATCAAAATTAAAACACTATATTATTTTTTTCTCTCGAAAGGGAAATAAGGAAAAATCTCTTCAATACTTTGTTTCAGTTTTAGACACTTAAATAAGCCTAAACAAATTGATACACATTTTTTCATAAAAATGCAAATTTTTCAAAAACGCTATGATTTAAGTAAATTTAATCAAATTTTCCTTTATTTTAATTCGTAGAAACAAAATAATGTAATAGTATACAGAATGTTCCATTTCAGAAATATAACTTAATATTTTTATTTATTTATAACCTTATAAAAGTCATTTAAATTCTAGCTCTAGTTATCATTAACAACCAACGATCATACTAATATCTCGTAAAAATTTAATAATCTATGTCGAGTAGCATAAATAAAACTGCATAATAGGGTGAGTCTTAAATAAGTGCAAATATTTTCAAGGTTGGTAAATCTCAAGAAAAACAAACATATTTCTCTTCAGCATTTTTCAAATAAGTCCTAAATAACAAAAAATATTTATTTTTGAAAATTTTTTTTTTTTTGATTTTTTTTCTGTATTTGCATCCTCAGTGTCGTTGCCATAAAGCAAACCCGTAACTATGGTAATATAATCATTCTAATATCAGAAATTTAAGAAAATTTGCGGTGAACACAGTTCTAAAAGCTTTCTAAAATTTACAGAAAATTTTAAAAAAGATACACGATTTTCATTATCTTCTTTGCGAAAAAACTAATAGACGTGTACCTGTGGTCGAAATAAATCACCCTAAAAAATATTTGCACTTTGTGATGAATTTTACGTGTTTTTGCTCTTGAGTCTTTATGTTGAACAGACTGCCGTCGTATCTGTATCTAACGCCCAATCCTCCTGCAGTTTGCTGTCCACTATAATGGAGAGCTCTGCCATGAATATATTGAATAGGAGAGGTGCTAATATCCGCTGCCTAATGCCTGTGTTTGTTAGGAAGAGATCGCTCAGGTGATCCATGATATGACACTCTTGACTTGTTGTTATGGAGGTTTTTACACACTGTAAGAAATTTGGTGGGTACTCAGAACTTTTTCATAATTGCTCAAAGTGCATCCCTGTTCACAGAGTCAAAGGTTTTTGTTAGATCGATGAATGCAACTTAAAGTTTAGACTGCTGCTCTTTACTTTTTCCTGTAGTTGCCGGATGGAGAATATGGAATCGAAGGTACCGCGGTTGGTACGAAAAACCGTTTGCGATTCTGGGAGATTTTTTTCTATATGTGGGTGCAGGCGGTTTGACATAATTATTGCAAGAATTTTTCCTCCGATAACCAGTAGTGAAATTCCTCGGTAGTTTCTGCAGTCTGATGCACTTCTTTTGTTCTTAAATATATTCACTATATTCGCGTTGCAAAAGTCCTGAGGTACCTACCTCTCCGCTTTCCCACATGACATCAAAGAGAGCCTTAAAATGACCAATAAGTTCTTTACTTTCACACTTATAGATTTCCGCTGAAATCGCGTCACAACCAGCTGATTCGTTGTTTTTAAGCTTTTTTATGGAGTCCTTTATTTCCTGTTCTGTTATTGGAATGTCTAATACATCGAGGTTGTTATACTGAGGTATTATGTTGAGTGCTTCCATATTGGGGTTATTTTCTTGGTTAAGGATATATATGGCTGTAATGCTCTTCCAGCGGTTTCTGATTTGCTCTTCCTCTTTAGAAGTTCGCCATTTGGGCAGCTTACTTTCTTAGTTGGACCGTATACTTTTACAGCCTCGAAGAATTTACGATAGTCGTAATGCGTGGCATACTCCTGAATCTGACTAGCTTTTGCGACCACCACCACTTATCCTTTAGTTGGCGCAGGTTTCTTCGGAGCGTGTTGTTGGCTGCCTTAAAGTTGTCTGCTAGTCTTGGATTGTGTGGATTTGCGGTGACGGCTTGATGTGCTCTATGCTTTTGTTCAAACAAAGCCTGTATATGCGGTTGATTTCGTTAAACCAGTCTGGTTGTTTCTTTTGTTGGATTTTCCCAGTACTGCTTCGCTGGTTTTGTGAATCGAATCTCTTAGTTGTGTCCAGCCATGTTCAGCATCCATGATTGAGACTGAAGTTATCGGTGGAAGTGATACTTTGAAGGCTTCCGGAGGGCGTCGACGGTATCGTTGTTCTCTAGACACCGTATATTCAATCTGGTCATGTAGCTTTGCTTTTGACAGTGTGGATGTTTGGGCTTTAACTGGATTTTCATTTTTGATATTAAAAGTCGGTTCAAGATTCGAGAAACCCCTCCTATCGAAACTCTACAGCTCACAGTCAATCCGTTTGCCAAAATCATTTTTAAACGTCAAGCAGTTTAACCTGTGATAAGGCCAAAACTATTAATTTTCAAATTAGTTGATATTATATTTTAGTGCTAAATATAATATACCAACGATGTAGTAGGCGGTTTTTTTCAAAATATTTGCGTTTATTTCAAAAACAGGTGTTCTTTTAAAAGGACGGTGGACAAATACACAACCTTCTTTAAAAAGCGTTTATTAGAAAAGCAAATGAATATAATAGAACAAAATGTTAAGCTGTATGATAACTCACAAAACAATTTTTAGGATGTAATGCAATTTCACATTTCTGACAGGTGAAATTACATTTTTATGACAAATACCACACCTTGTCTGTTTTTCTTGATAAGTAACTAAATGGTCTAGTCGGTCATATCTCGAATGCTCATGTAAATTAGCAGAATTGCGACTAGGGCCTCTTTCGATGATTAAAGTTTTAAAAATACTGAGAAAGCAACTGACTGCCTGAAATGTAAATGGTCCTTTTTGCCATTACTTTCTCGATAAAGCTGCCACGCGTTATGTAAAGCCATATCTAGACAGTGGCAAATTAGGGGAAAATACCATTTTTTTCCTCTTATTGACGTTCTATATAGACTAATGTTCTGGTCCGCTCTATCAACCCCTCCCATATTCTCGTTATATTTTTTATAGCATGAGGTTGGGGAACATATACATTTTTCTTCTCTTTCTGAGAAAATCGTTTTACAGGTAAAGTTGGCATAACTTTGGTGGCATTTGAAGCAATCGTGACAACACTATTGTCATGCCACTTGCATAAGATTATTTTGTTATCTGAAGTACAAAATTCAAATAAACCTCTATCTTTTTTTTCAAAATGCTAGAATGAGTCAAAATGCACTCTTTGCCTAAACGATTTTCTCTGATAGTTCCAGTTCCCTTCAAACCCATATCTGTCAGTTTTTCCAACAAAGCAAGTGTAGTAAAAAATTGTCAAAATATAAGTGGAACGGAGTATTGGGAAATCTTTCTTGAAGAACATGAGCAAACTGTAGAATTACACTAGCTCCAAGACCTAATTCTTTATATTCATCCGCAATAATTGTTGTCGAACCCTGGTAAGGCTCAAACCATTCAACATAACCAGTTTTCGTAGTACCGGCCCAAAACTTATAACCCCATCTGATGGGCTTTCCTTTGATGAACTGCTTGGTTCCATGGCGTCCAAAATATGGAACCATACTTTCATCTACACTATGATTCTCCTGAAAGGGTGCAAAGTCGATAAATCTTTTATTTAGTGCGTCAATAAGAGGGCGAATCTTAGCAAACTTATCATTAGTATTCAACAAATTATTATTGTCGCAGCAATGTAAATTTTGTATAATATACTTGAACCTATTCCTAGATATGGCTTCACAAACAAGTTGGTTATTTGTATCTTTGGATTTCTCCCAATACATTTCACGCCTAGGATGACCAGAATACCCACTAAGCAAGAGTACCCCTAAAAAACAGCGCATTTCATTGCCAGAAATGTCTCCATTGCGGTTATGAGACGTAGCATATAGATTGCTATAATGCACCAACATAGCGATGATTTCAGAGTCAAAAAATAAAATGAAATGCCTCTAAAGGCGTGTAGGATATTTTTGGTCCATAAATATCATTCCACAAAGAAAAATCTGAATTTATGTCTGTTTGCAACCATTTGTAAATGCGCTTTTTTTTTCGAGCCAGTTTCTTTAGTACGGAAAACGGACAAAGGTAAATCATCTTCACTATCCCAAAGATCGCTCTCTAGTTCCGGAGTTTGAGGTTCCGGAGTTTGAGTACGTTCCTCAAAACTTACTTGTACTTCGGCACGCAGCTGACTTCCAGGTAAGTTGTTCATATTCACGGTCTCTTCATCCCCGGAATCTTCATCTGTGATTTCTTCATTTGCATTCTCAGGAGGCAATATGTAAATATTATTCGGTATTTCTGCATCGAGATTTGCAATTTCCTCCAACAACTCATGGAATTTCAGTGGTCTTTTCCAATACCTAAAAATGTAGTTTTGTTATAGTAGATTTGGCCACTGTCCTTTAAAAAGAACATGCAGATATTTTCAGTTCCAACTGTCGGCACATATTTCACCATAACCAAGCTTTTACATGGGAACGTTTTTTAGATGTTTATTAACAAAAACCAACGTTCTAATTGATGACAAAAATACAGTAACATACATAGGACTTACCTCGAATCATCCATGTCACACACTGAAAAAAGTCGAACTCAATAAAGTGTAATTTTCACACACTAACAAGTGAAAATATAACATGTAGTGGTTAAATTAACGGAATAATATTATCTCTAAACAAATTCATAATGTGCCATCTGCATTCGAGGAGTTAAAGTTGAGTATTACAGAAATCTGTAACTTGGCTTTTAAAAGGACGGTGGCCGCATTCAAGTTGCCGAATCGTGATTACTTAATGGTCATATTTTTATGAAACAACCTGTATAATTTTTTAAAAATCTTAAATATGTAAACAACAAATAAAATATACGTGTTTAAAGGTTTTCCGAAAACCTACCGGTTTTTAAATAAATATTCTAATATTTGAGTGGTGGTTTCAGCCTTCCTTAGAATTCGAGTTTCGAAAATCTCTTCATATCGAACCTCTACACCCTAAAGTCAATCCGTTTTCCAAAAATCAGCTTTTTGTCAAGCGCTTTAAGCAGGATCGTGATTAATCAATGACCAGATTTTTCAAAACACCTTGTATACATTTTTAAAAAATCTTAAAATATGTAAAAAACAAAATAAAATATACGTGTTTACGCGTTTTTTCTGAAACTTTCTTTGAACTTTCTTTTTTTCGAAAAAATATTGTAATAATTGAGGGTGGTTTCACCCACTTATTGAACTGGGAATTTCAAAAAATCCTTCTATCGAACCTCTACACCCTAGAATCAACCTGTATGTCAAAATTGAGCTTATTACATTGAGTGGTTTGAGCAGGATCGTGATTAATCAGTGAGTCAGTCACTTAAGGATTTTATATATTAGTATAGATAGCAATTTTTGATAATTGTTGAACCATCGTCATATCTACTGTGATACTCGTATAAATAAAAGTATCAGATAAAACACAAATTAAAGAAAAAAATGAAATACAGTCTAAATAAGTAACTAAGAATTTAAGGTTAGTAAAAACGATGTAACTAATAATAGTGTGTGTCAAATAACACAATACCCCAATCAACATCGAAAACATAACGTCACATACTGCACACTGTAGGGAGAGAACTCTATGTCGCATGCTGTTTAACCACAAATTGACAGTCCCTTTGGTATAATATGGGTAGTAGCGCACTAATGGAGAGGTTATTATACCGAACGCGCGCGGGAGGGCTCCCCCTCAATTCCCCCCGATTTAATGACCGCGGCCATCTGTAAATTCGGCTAATTTGTCCGAAAAACCATTCGAGTTAATCGCCGTGTGCAGCCGTCTCGCATTTGGATGACGCCCGTCTTCAAGTTTGGCAATTATTCATTTACGGTTAGGCGGACCGAGACGTCGAAGTGCACCAGTCAAAATGGCGGTTTTTCTTTATTGCGGAAACTTCAAAGAATAATGAACCCGCCTAGCGTTGTGTTTTAGCACTTGCAGCTGCAGTATAGAGTGACTAGATTGTTAGGTTTTCGTCTTTAACAGTCACTTTTTATTGCTACATTAATATTGACAAGTCATGAATAGAATTTTTGATACACTATTATTCTTTTATGTTAAGTGTATGCAATGATATACACTGGTGCCACTTTTAAAGTCAATTTTATCTTTACATTAATTTGTATTCTGAAAATAAATTGTGCAAAAGTTGAAGTACCCAACAAATTCCTTACAGTGTGTAAAAGCCCCCATAACAACAACCAGTCAAGAGTGTCACATCATGGATCACTGAGCGATCCCTTCCTGACAAATACAGGCAGGAGTTAGGCAGGGATGCGTCTTAGCGCCTCTCCTATTCAACATATCCATGGCAGCGCTCTCCATTATAGTGGACAGCAAACTGCAGGGAAGAGGAATGGGCATAAGATACAAATACGACGGCGGTCTGTTCAACATAAAAAGACTATGCACAAAATTCATCACAGAACTTCAATACGCTGATGACTGCGCTCTAGTTAAAAACACGTTACAATTACAAGAAATGTTGAACACATATACCTGGACATTCGATGATTTGGGCCTTAAGCTAATCATTGACAAAACCAAAATCATGTGCACTCCCCGGAAGATTACAACAATGTTATAAAAATCGGAGAAGAACTATTGGAATATGTAGCGGAATTTAATTACCTCGGCAGTTTGATTTAGAAAAAGGCCAATATCGACTCTGAAATTCAGCTCAGGATTAGCAGCGCCTCATGATCAGTTATTGTGTTGCAATAATAAAATAATACTACCTTATATGGCCTAAAAATTTATTTTAAATAATTATTAGCTTCAAACGGCAATAACTTTTTAATTTAAATGGAATGCCCTGTATATTTAGGAGAATCAGATGCACAATTAAATTGTATATCAAATTGTATTATACCATTTACCTATCTCTTCAAGTTTTCGTAGAAAATGCATTTTCTTTTTAATTTAGACCTCATTACTTCAATATATCTATGGAATAATTGACATTTTAGATTGTTTTTAAAGCAACAAATGTATTAAAATGTATAGATTAGTAATATTATAGTTTTTAGCAAAACGATAATATTACCAGAAATTAAAAGACAGGGCTTTCTACAATCATGACTTGAGCACAAAAAATAAAATGTAGCATACCGAGCAATTATAATCCCCACCATGTTATATGGGAGCGAAACCTGGGTACCGTACTGCCGACACATGAAGGCATTAAACAAGCTGCAACAGAGACACCTTAGACAGCTCTTAAGAATCCGGTGGTTCTATCATCATGTTAAACGTATCGGTCCTTGGAAAAGCTAACTGCGAGAGATGGGCTGGTCAGAATGCAAGAAACCGCATACCAAAATCTCTGCTTTACAGTGAGCTTGTAGACGGTAAGGAGAGGCCGGGTGGACAACTCAAAAGGTACAAGGACATTTCCACGAAAACTTAGGGGATTAACATGCATAATCATTGGGAAGAAGCAGTTCACAATAGAACTCAATGGAGAAGAATTGTAAACTCGACAACGACAATTAAAAAGTAAAGAGGCAACAGTTAAATGAGATTTTGAATGTTCGGAGTGCGGTAGGCAAATAACATCACGTATCGGGCTTTTCAGTCATACAAAAGCTCATGAAAGAAAACGCGTTGCGTGACCATCTTTGATGCGTGTCGAATACTCGTAAGCGAGTAATGGCAGTATGTATGTATGTGCAAAATCATGGTTGAGAATTTTTTAAATAATCTGCAAGCATTTTCCTTGTTATTTTCCACCCTCCATGTTTCGGCCATATATAACTCTTTCTTTCTCTCTTGATCATAAACATTTAGTTGTAAATATTTGATTTACAGGGTGAGTTTTCTTCGATGTTCTCGATGGGTATCTCGGAAAATACTGAGATAGAGAGTCGGTTAAACTGGGAAAGAATTGCAGTTTTATGGGGTTTTAAATATGCGCCTTTCAGATTTTTGAAAGTTCATGACTTACTAGATATTTAAAAAAACAAATTTTTAAAATAGTGTCTAATCATAGAAATGTATTTTAGACAAAAAAGTTTTTAGATAAAAGTTGTAGATAATCACATCCTTAATGAGACTGTGTTCTCCTTTTTTTTTTTTTTTTTTTTTTTTATTTTATTTTACAAACTTATGTTTTTTAAGCTCTTCGGCGATATAAGCTTTATAATATGTTTTTTTCGAAAAGTTACTTCTAAAAAAAGTTCTAAAGAGTTCTAGCCACTTTATTTTTCTTAACTAATTTTACTTAGTTGGTATGGTATTCTTATTCTGTTATTTATTTAATTATTATAATTATAACTGGCAAAAGGCAGAATATTTTATTAAACGGTTCTTACAATTTACAATGCACAAACTAAAACTTAAAAAAATAATATCACTTCATACACTTTAAGTTAAGTTATTTTAGCAAATGTTCAAAAATATACCGCATAAAAAGATCTAAAATGTATAGGTTATTTGATCGAGGAGGCCCATGCAATTGGTCCACCTCTTCCTATTCTTTTGAATTTGAATATTTATGATATATAATTTTAAACATTATTTCATTATGGGGGAGGTCATAATGAAAGTCATGTTGGAATTACTCTTTTGATGCGCGAGTATCTAAATTTAACTTTTCAAACATGTCTTGAAAACCGTTCTCTAAAAAGCGTATGTAACTTATCCTCGAAAAGTTGGACCAATAATCCTACACGCTTTCTTCATTTGAAAAATTCATATTTACAATTTTTGGCTATTTTAATTTACAAAATTTGGATTGTGATAGTTTGGCATTTATGAGAGCAACGACGATTGAACTTGTTTCCATAACTTACGAAGCAAAATTGTTTAAAATGATAAGAATTGGCTATAACTCAGTAAATTTTCGAAAAACATATTATAGCTTATATCACCGAAAAGCTGCGTGGCGCTTTTGCGAAGTCATCGCTAACTATGGTTTCCTTTAAAAAAAAAAAAAAAAGTTTGTGTCATATGTCAAAAATGTGACATGTTTGACATTCATCAAAGATGTGGTTATCTACAACTTTTACCTGAAAACTTTTGTCTAAAATGGACTGTAATAGAATTAGAGACTATTTTTTTAAAGAAGCCTTAAATTTGGTTTTTGCCTTTTTGTAAGCCATGAACTTTTTTCAAAATCTGAAAGTATATTTATGTCCCCACAAAACTGCAATTCTTTTCCCCATTTAACCGACTCTATCTCCAGTAGTTTTCGAGATACCCATAGAAAACATCCTAGAAAACTCCTGTATTTTATTGTTTATAAATATTTTCTTTTTAAAAACAATTTTGCGAAAGTCTTTAATGTTTCTCTGATATAAAATTTGAAAAAAAATAGTTAACAAAATTATTTATTAAAATATTTTTACATTAATATTTTCTTTTCATTGTTCTCTATAATAAATCATTAACAACTCAACATCTCTAATTCCTTGCGCATCATCGCCAACGATACGGGTATACTTATCTCTCTGCCCTCAGCAAAACAACCCCACGAAAGTGCTACTGCTGTTATTCGAACATAAAGATAATCAGAAAAAGTCCTTTGATAAATGGGCCCCGACCTCAAACACAATCCATTAGTTTCCAGGTGTTGCCAGACTGGCAACCATCCCCTTCTCGAAGAAAGG